CCCCAAAACCCCAAAACCCCAAAACCCCAAAACCCCAAAACCCCAACTTATGAAGTTTAAATTGGAGATTATATAATAAATCAAAAAATGTCAAAAATTTTTGCATGATGAGGAACTAAGAAGCCGAACTCACAGCTTGAAACCATCAAAGAATCCTACAAAAGAAACAAATGGAGATTTGGCCAAGAAGAATTCAACCAACTTATCAAAACGTAAGTTTCCACCACTAAGCTCCCTTTCACGCCTATACCAAATTTTCTTGACCCAAATGACCTCTTTTTCACTCTAAACCATCTCCCTTCCCTCAAGTCCCTCTCCCCAACCTCCTAACCCACCTCCTTCTCTCCTTCTTACCGACTTTCTTAAGCCCCAATTTCGTCAAATCCCTCAAATATCTTCCTGCTCTTAAACAATCTTCAAACCCAAACGGCCATGGCGCCTGGGTCCAGTCCCAGTACGGGAAGAATAATTGAAGCACTAGCCAGTACAGGTTTTAAGGATTTTGAGGTCATGGCTCGTAGAGGGGTACTTTAGCTTATTGGGAGATGAAATAGGATTAAAAGTTGCCAAGAATGGGGACGGAACCGGCTGTGGCTCTGTAAGAAGGAGAAGACAGATTTGTATAAATAGAGATTAAGAGCTTTGGGATTCAGGCTTTTGAGAGACTTTTTGAAGCTGAGTGGCTTTTGGTAGGAGGTTTGGAAATTTTTAGTAATATGTTTTCTGTGGGTTTAGGAAAATGTAGCGAGATTTTACATAAAAGAGTCTGGATTATTATGACTCAGACCCTATGTTGATGCAAGGCTGATTTTTCCTTCTTGCAGAGATATAGTTAGGTTTGCCATTCATTTCTACCAAATCTTCATATCACTATATCTCCAAATTAACTAGAACTTCACAATATACATTTCACTCCATTTCCGCCTAACTATTCCAAATCAACAATATCTAATACTCCAATAATCCCTCTATACCACTTCACTACCATCTTATCTCGGCTCCGACCAACAATAAACTTCACTAAAGCCTATTCTTTTCCGCTCGGCTCTTACTCTGCAATCTCCTCCTCTGGTTTACCTCCCTCACCCTGTATTGTCCAAGCTCACAAACAATTTTCTAATAAAGGAAGAAGCTTAAAGGAAGTTTGGACCTATTCATTTGTAGATATGAGTGTGATAGTTCCTCCTTCATTTACACAAGCTCTATCATTATTGTTAATATAATGAAGAACAAACTCTCTCCTTCATATCTACAAATAGATCATCAAAAACTCTCTAAAACCTCCTTCCTTTAATACCTCCACTGACCAAGATTTCCAACCAACAGACCCATAAACACTTCAAAACCCCCATTCAACCCCTCCAAACCCCCTACTTCCCAATATCCCTCCAAGCCCCTAATTTCTTCAGCACAAACTTTAATTTCCTTTCTGCTGTAATCACTAATAACCCCACTGTTCTACTTTTTCTATTAGAGACGAAAGCTCCAGTCAGGAATTCTGACTGGGGATTTTGGGAGGAAAGCAAGCTTTGTGGGGAAATAGGAGGGTTTTGGTGAGCATGGAGGGGGAAGGGGGTTGAGTGGATTTTGGGGTTTTGGGGGAAAGTGTTGTTTAGAGAGAGTTTTATGTTGTTTTGGGTTTGAAATTCGGTTTTTTTAATATATTTTTACCCCTAGGTGAGCTTTAGCTTTGGAAATTTATTTGTTGGGTTAATGGTAGTGTCTTCTTTTCTCTTAATTGTATGCTATATTCCGGTAATATTCAACTTTTAAGATTTCTTTACTAGCTTGGTTCTGTTAGAGTCTAAAAGTCTATCAATTTTTAATATATATCTCACAAACAAAGCATAAGTTTTTTGTGCTGTTTTTTGCCATTTTCAAAGATAAACTGGGTTAAAATAAATTCTTTTGTTTACTCTTACAAAATAAAAGTATATCATCAAGGAAATCAGGATTGTCAACAACATAAAACTATCTTACTTGTACCTAAAAATTGCATGATTTTCTAGAGATTTGACTGAAAGACTAGACTACCATAGAATGTATTTATAAAATGTTCTCTTATTTTAAAGATCGAGTTATGGTAACAAGTCCTGACAGCTTGCAGAACTGCCCTTGTCAATTATAGGCGAAATCTAAATTATTTTCTAATACTATAACTTGTTTATCCACCAATTCTTAAAAGTTATTTTAGGTTCCAGAAATAATGCAGTGAACTTGAGGCTGTCCCGATCAAAGTTCCTCGAAATGTTCGGACTCCTAGGAATGGAAAGCACATCATACATCTGAGAGAGAATGTTTGATTGTATTGATAAGGAAAACAATGAGTGGATCAGTCTGGAAAACTACCTGATTTATATGGATGTACTCATTCATGGGAAGGAAAAAGAGAAACTTAAACAATCCTTTGAACTTCTAGACATCAGGAAAAGAGGAAAAGTAACCTATAAGGACTTTATGCAGGTCGCAGTCAGTGTATCAAGCATGTGGAGAGCTGCTCTTGGTCATTCAGGTAGGATTATATTAACATAAATAGTCGAAATTGACGAGAAAATAATCAAAAATGTGTTTAATGTCATATCAAATAACAAGAAATACTTTAAGTGTAAGAACTACGTAAATGTTGTCAAAATGAATCCAGATCTGATGTCATGGCTTACTAAACCTAAAGAAATATTGGATGATAAACTTGAGAAAAATGTATCATCAAAAGAGAAAAATTATAAAACAAGTATTGTTCAGGAGATGATAGAAAATTCTAAAAAGTAATCCTTCCTCTTTGACCTCTCCTCTAGATTCGCTGAAGAAGTAATTTCCACTGTTGAAAAGGTCCTAAAGATCCAGAGAGGACATAGATTTACTTACAAAAAGCGAAGCAGGAGTTTTACCTTAAAAGATGATGCTGCAATTATTGGTAAACAAGAATCTCTTAAGCTGCATGATATCGGGAAGCATGATTTCCCAATCAGTACTGAGAAGGGCAAGAAGAACACCAAGAGCATCAAAACATTCCTCCCAGGAGTTGAACGTAGAACTCTTCGTAAGAAAGATGATGTAAACAGAACTGAAACCTCTGATGAAATAAGCATCATGAAGGCAGGCCCAACCCCAGAAATCTTCAAGCTTGAAGACTGAGAAGAAGATCAGAATGAAGGCGGTGAAGAAGAGGAGAACGAAGGAGGCGAAGAAGAGAAGAATGAAGGAGGAGAAGAACAAAAACAGGAGTCAGGAAGTTCTAATCATGATGCTAAAGGGTCTACAAAGCGTAAGAAGAAAAAGGTTAAAGCTAAGACATACAATGAGATAAACCAAAGCGAACACTCTCGAAGATTTGATGACAGCAGCTTAGAAGTAGACTCTGAAGAATGTAAAAGTGATATTAACCAGATCACTAAGTCTAAGAGAGGCAAATCTAGGAGAAGTCTTTATCAAGATGATAATGATCAAGAAGATAAGATCGGAGACATTCCTATGAGCGCTTTTGAATCAAGCTCCTCTAATAGTGACGACACATTTGAGTCATATGAGAATGATGAATTATATTTAAAATATCAGAGAGAAAGAACTCCTATTAAAATTGACAAATTCTCAAATGAAGAAGCTAAAGGAAATGCTGCTGAAGAAATCCTTGCCTCCCTTAGAGACATCTCCATAGAAATAGATGGAGATTTTGAAGATGTAAGACAGAATGGGCTCTCAATTGAAGAAAGGCCTGATCGTCCCAGTCTCTTCAAAAAGAGCGAAGCAGGAATTAGATTACAACAAGATTACTCAATCGATGACTTACAATCAGAGGATTGATTTGTCCAAAGGGCTGAGACAAATCTTCCCCTCCCTCAGAACATCAAGCTCCTTGATGATGCTAAGTCAGTAAATTCTCCTGAATGTGAGAAAATACAGAAAGAAATACAGGTTACTGAATCTCTAAGAAACCTTGAGATGAAAATGAGGAATTCAGGTAAGTAAACTCATCTACTAGCATTTGTGTATTCTAACCTACTTCTAGTAACTGGAAATTATGATCAATCTAAGCTCCAGCCTTTTCTTCGTGAATACATGAAGAACGAGAGTATCATCAAGGACTCGAGACTTTTGTTTGAGGACCTCCTCGAGACCTCTCGTAGCTACATAAAGAAGCTAGATCAACTCGTCACTGATGAAGATGAGAAAGTTAATGAAGAAGAGAATAAAGAACTTACGAGGAAAAATACTATGAGGAATATCCATCACGGCAAGGAAAAGAGCAGAGTTACCAAAGCCAGAAGGAAAACTGCCATGGCAAAGACCATGAATGTTGTCCACTTTGGTCATGAAAACTTCAATTTGGTGTTTAATATCATGCTTGGAGTCCGAAAAGCAATCGATTCTGTGATTAATTTCCCCATTTTTGAACTACAAAAAAAGGATTTCAAGATTAAATGAGTTTATGAAATAGCTCCATGGAGAACAACAGATAGAGATGATCTTAAAGCTTGTCGCTTCCTTGATTATGCTCCTCAAGTGTTCGATAGTATCCGGAAGAAATTTAATGTAGAGCGAGAGGAGTATTCACAAAGCTTAGGTCCTGATCAAATTCTAAACAACCTTCTCACAGGAGATTTTAGTTCCCTCTCAGAACTTTGATCTAGTGGAAAAAGTGGTTCCTTCTTCTATTACACAGCTGATGGTAAATACATGCTAAAGACAATCTCTAAGACGGAATTCAGGTTCTTCAAGCGTATCCTGCGTAACTACTATAACCACATTGAAAAATACGACTCAACTCTTATAACAAGGATCTACGGTCTTCACAAGATGATATTTTCCAGAAAGACGAGGAGAAGTTCTGTCAAAACTCTCTATTTCTGCATCATGAACAATGTGTTTCATACTACGAAGGAGATCCACAGAAGGTATGATCTTAAAGGAAGTACTCAAGGAAGAACAACAAAATATGCTAACAATATTTTTGATCCCACAATTGCTCTTAAGGACAATGATATTGTAGATGAGGAGAACTACTTTATCATCCAAGAAGATATGTGTGAAAAGTTCACCAAACAAGTAGAAGCTGATGTACAGTTCTTCAAGGAAAATAACATTATTGATTATAGTCTCCTGATTGGTATTCATGATAAGAAGGCTGACCCCAACACTGGGAAAAATTATGTTAGCAATCTCTCCATGATGTCTGAGTCTGATGCAGGAACCAGGACTGTACGCGACTACGTGCAGTCTCATTCTCTACCATTCTACGAGCAAGATGAAGGAGGTATGCAGAATTTCAATAAGAAGGAGATATATTTCCTTGGAATCATTGATATTCTGACAGAATATAACACAAAGAAAAAGATGGAGCACTTCTTTAAAAGACTGAAATACGGAAACTCCATTAGCTGTGTACCCCCAGACAGATATGCTAAAAGATTTGATGAGTTTATTAACTCCAGAGTTGTGACTCCTCGTCAGTACAAGGTTATTGCTAAGGACCTCAAGACAAGACCTCCATTAGGTCTTGTTGAGGATATTGAAAATTACGAAAGACAATCTTTACTAGTAGGAGATGAAATGTAAGTCAACATCCTAGTTGGGTCTAACACATATAGGGATTCGTACCCAGACGAAGAGGCTAAGGATAACAGAAGAAAGCATATCAAAAATAAAAGAATGATAAGAGAGCTAGACGAAGAAGATTAAATCGTACAACTTGATTTGCTTTAATGGTAATCATCAATTCTAATTCCTAATAAGGGGTTTTGGGGTTTTGGGGTTTTGGGGTTTTGGGG